ATGATACCAAAACCACACAGAGACTATGCAAAGACACAACTAAGAAAGAGAAATACAGATTAATATCCTTCATGAACGTTGATGCAGAAATAGTCAACAGAATACTGGCAAACCGAATCCAAGAATACATCAGAAACACGATCAAGTAGGCTTCATCCCAGAGATGCAGGGATGGTTCAATATAAGAAAATCCATCAATATAATCTATCATATAAATAAACTGAAAGAAAAAAAAAACACATGGCCATCTCATTAGATGCTGAAAAAGCCTTTGGCAAATCCAACACTCATTCATGATAAAGGTACTGGAGGGAAAACAGGGATACAAGGAACATTCTTAAACATAATAAAGGCAATCTATAGCAAGCCAACAGCCAACATCAAACTAAATGGGCAGAAACTCAAAACAATTCCACTAAAATCAGGAACAAGACAAGACTGTCTACTCTCTCCATTATCTATTCAATATAGTAATTGAAATCCTAGCCAGAGCAAGAAGACAAAAAAGGAGATCAAGGGGATACAATTGGAAAGGAAGAAGTCAAACTTTTACTATATGTTGATGATATGATAGTAAGATGGGAGATGGCCTTCTATGTATATGTTTCTCTTATTGGCTGATGAATAAAACACTGATTGGCTGGTTGGCCAGACAGGAAGTACAGACAGGGTTAGGGAAGAGGAGAATCTGGGAAACGCAGGCAGACGGAGCTGTCATGAAGAACCCAGGAGGGTAGAATGAGCCACTTGTTCTCCATTAAGGTAAGGCCATGTAAAATACACAGAGTAATAGAAATGGGTTAGTAATTAAGACAGAGCTAGCCAGTAAGAAGCCCTAGTCATCGGTCAACGGATTTATAATATAAGTCTCTGTGTGGTTTTTTTTTGGGTTGAAGTGGCAGCGGGACCCATGTGGACAAGAAAAACCGCCAGCAACAATAGTATACATAAGTGACCCCAAAAATTCTACCCAGGAACTCCTACAGCTGATAAATACCTTCAGTAATATAGTGGGATACAAGATTAATGCAAAAAAAAATCAGATGACAAACAGGCTGAGAAAGAAATCAGAGAAACATCACCCCTCACAATAGCCATAAACAACATAAAATATCATGGGGTAACTCTAACCAAACAAGTGAAAGACCTGTATGACAAAAACTTTACGTCTTTGAAGAATGAAATTGAAGAGGATATCAGAAAATGGAAAGATCTGCCATGCTCATGGATAGGTAGGATTAACATAGAAAAAATAGCAATCCTATCAAAAACAATCTACAGATTCAATGCATTACCCATCAAAATCCCAGCACAGTTCTTCACAGACCTTGAAAGAATAATACTCAACTTCATATGAAAAACAAAAAACCCAGGATAGCCAAAACAATCCTGTACAATAAGGGAACATCTGGAGGCCTCATCAAACCTGACTCTATTATAGAGCAATAGTAATGAAAACAGCTAGGTATTGTCGGCACAAAAACAGATAGGTGAACCAATGGAATCTGAATTTAAGACCCTGATATTAACCTACATACCTATGAACACCTGATTTTTGACAAAGAAACTAAATATAAAATAGAAAACAGAAAGCATCTTCAACAAATGGTGCAGGCATAACTGGATGTAGACATGTAGAAGAATGCAAATAGATCCATGTCTATCGCCCTGCACAAAACTCAAGTCCAAATGGATCACAGACCTCAACACAAATCCACCCATACTGAACTGCACAGAAGAGAAAGTGGGAGGTAGCCTTGAATGCACTGGTACAGGAAAACACTTACTAAATATAACACCAGTAGCACAGACACTGAGAGCAACAATTAATAAATGGAACCTCCTGAAACTGAGAAGCTTCTATAAAGCAAAGGACACAGTCAACAAGGCAAAACAGTTTCCTACAGAATGGGAAAAGATCTTCACAAACCCCACATCTGACAGAATATACATCTCCAAAATATACAAAAAATTTAAAAAACTAGACATCATACTACCAAATAATCCAATTAAAAAGTGGGGTACAGACTTAAATAGAGAATTCTCAACAGAACAATCTCAAATGGCTGAAAGACACTTAAGGAAATGCTCAACATCCTTAGCCATCAGGGAAATGCAAATCAAAATAACTCTGAGATACCATCTTACACTGATCAGAATGGCCAAGATAAAAAAATGATGGCAGCAGCTTATGCTGGATAGGATGTGGAGTAAGGGGAACACTCTTCCACTGTTGGTGGGAGTGCAAACTTGTACAACTGCTGTAGAAATCAGCATGGCAGTTCCTCAGAAAATTGGGAATCAATCTGTCTCAAGACCCTGCAATACCACTGTTGAGCATATACCCAAAGGATGTACACTCACAATACAAGGACATCTGTTCAACTATGTTCATAACAGCATTATTTGTAATAGCCAGAACATGGAAGCAACCTAGATGTCCCTGAGCTGAAGAGTGGATAGAGAAAATGTGGTACTATTCATCAGTAATAAACAATGACATCTTTAAACTTGCAGGCAAATAGACAGAACTAGAAAAAAACCATCCTGAGTGAGATAACTCAGTTCCAGAAAGACATATATTACTCATTCATAAATACCAGACTAAAGTAAAGTATAACCAGCCTATAATCCACAACCCCAGAGAAGCTAGATCCCATCTTCTAGAAACAATGGAAGCAGAGTTCTATAACTAACCAATGGGCCAATCTCCTGGAGTACAATCAACGTGAGGGAGGAGCAATATTATGAACAAAGGGATCAAGACCAAGATGGGGAAACCACAGAACCAGCTGCCCTGCGTTATTAGAGATCGCTGACTCCGCTCTGTCAACTGGGGAACTGTCATAGGACTGAACAAGGACACCTGAATACAGGTGACAACGGTATGGCTTGGGCAGTGTATGAAGCCACTGGCAGTGGGACTAAGATTTAGTTGACATCCTAGGGGAGGCTTTACCCTCTCTGAAGAATGGATGGAAGGTGGGATGGGAGGAAGAAGGGGAGAGCGGAAGGAGAGGCGGGAGGGGGAACTGGGATTGCAATGAAAAACAAACAGTAATCCCACGGCTGGAGGTGGCTCAGTGTGTAAGAGTGGTTGCAGTAAAAGCAACAGTGCTTTGAGTTCAAATCCCTAGCATCTACATAAAAAAAAAAAAAAGACACAGGGAGACACCAGGAGTTTGTTGGCTAGCTAGATGAACCAAAATGGTGGGTGTTTGAGCGTCAGGTTTCAGGGAGAACCTGTCTCAAAAATAAGGTGGAAGGTAGCAGACAAAGATACTTGCCAGTCTCTGCACATGTGCCCACTCATACACACAAAAATAATTAGGGCTAGCAAGAGTGCTGTCTGCTCTTGCAGAGGACCCAGGTTCAATTCCCACTACCTACACGGCAGCTCACACCATCTATCACTCCAGGTTCGGAGATCTGAAGCCTTCTTCTGAACTTGGTGGGCATTACATGAACATGGTGCACAGTAATACATGAAGGCAAGACATACACATAAAATAAAATGTGAAAATACAAAATTAATTATTAAAAAAATAATTGTAAGCCAGGCGACGGTGGCACACGCCTTTAATCCCAGCACGCGGGAGGCAGAGGCAGGTGGATCTCTGTGAGTTGGAGGCCAGCCTGGTCTACAGAGCAAGTTCCAGGACAGCCTCCAAAACAATACAGAGAAACCTTGTCTTGAAAAACCAAAAAAATAATAAAATAATTGTAACACTTGGGAAGTAGAGGCAGGAGGATCAGTAATTCGAGGCTAGTCTGGGCTAGAGAGCCCTGGGGAGAAGGCTAGAAACAGGAAAGCCATATGACACTGTTTTCCATCACAAGGCCTTGGTTTAGGGAACTGGTTGGTTATGCAAATTCTTCAATCCCAGTGCTCTCTGTCCATGAGTAACATGTAAAATATTTTGGTTTTGCAGTATGTTCCAAGAAAAACAAACCCCATGAAAACAACCAACAATGTTAACGGACAAAATTCCATTCGAGAAAAGCGTTGCCAAGAGAGGACTTTTAAAAACATTTAATGATTTAGCACACTTGTAATGTAGCACAACAGAGGCCAGGATAAGGGTTATGGGTTCGTGTGTTGCACAGTGATAATCTGCCTAAATACAAGCTGAGCTTGGTGGCTATACCATTAAGCCCAGCACCTAGGAGGCAGAGGCACCTCTGAAAGTTCAGGATAGCCTGGACTACACAGGAGTTCCAGTCTAGCCAGGGCTGTGGGAGGTAGAGTCCTTGTGCTCACACAGAAGCACTAGGGGAACCAGGAATATTAACAAATTATGTCCCTCCAAAGGAATGGGTGCATAACCAGTTACCCCCCCAGACAGATGGCTGGGAGCAGACATGGTCATAGCCTGGTGACCTTTGCGCTGTGTGGCAGAGACCACCGCAGACCCTCCCCCAGATCCTCATGAGCTTGTCAATCTACAGAGCCCATCTTTAAAGACGGTGTCACATGTACTTTACAAAGAATTTTGACTTAGTTTTGTCTTACACTTTAGTGTGCACACAGGACTGAGTTATTTATCACCAGGAATTTTTCACCAAATTGTGCTGTACTTAAATATGCCTAAAATAAACTACCTGGTCAGACTCTCAGGCAGATGTCCCTCTATAGCTACCACCCCTGCCACACACACACACACACACACACACACACACACACACACACACACACACACACACACGGTGACATAGTGAGACCCTACCACAAAATAAGCAAACAAATCTAAAATCACAGGAGGAACCATGAGATGATGGTCATCAGACAGAGGCGCTTGCCAACAAGCATGACCACATGGGTCCAATGTCGAAGACCTACATGGTAGAGCACTCCTTCCTGCGATCCTCCAACTTCCCTACTATATGCGGCAAAATATATGTTTTAAAGTATTTGAAAATAAAAATGTAATTCAAAAGGTCTCTAACTTAATATAAGGTGCTTTTGCTAGGAAGACGGTAAACTTACATTTCAAATGTAGGAGGAAGTGACTAGCGCACGTAGGGGATGCTGGATATGGGGCTGAGAGAAGCGCTGAGTCCAGTTTGGAAGACTGGGAGACAGCCTCATCTTTCTTCTTTTGAGATGGGGAGTCTGCTCAAGTGATTCCCTCCAAGTCTCCTCAGTAGCTGGACTACGGGCACATGCCAGCACAGCAAGGAAGACACCAAACCCAATGGATGGCAGAGGTCCCACGGCTGAGATGCTTCATCCCACAGGCCTCCTCTCCAGGACAATTCACAAGCAAACTGCCCATCTGTTCGATGAAAGCCAGTTTCCGACCAAGTCTGCCTCTCTCTCCAACTCCACCTCAGCTCCCAGAAGGCCTAGCATAGCTCTCCTTCCCAAATGATGTGTGTTACAAGTGAGAGCGGCATATGTAAGCTTAAATTTTCTTGTAACCACTTTGTGTGTGTGTGCTGGAGTTAAACCCAGGACTTGACACATGCTAAGCACACAGCCTGCTCTGGGCTACCCTTTAGTGCCCCTATTTTCAAGTCTACTGAGAGGGAGGGACTTAGGAGACAGTGTGTGCCACACAAGGGCACGCATAGGACATCATGTGGAGAATGCTCCTGGCCGGTATGCCAAGAGGAACCGGTGTACAGGAACAAGCTACTGCCACTGCCACATCTCTGGAATAGCTAGTTTCATCTCAGGGAAAACAGACAAAGGTCCTTCTGCCTTCGTCCCTCCCTTCTTAAAATCTGTCCTCTGTCCCATCTAAAGAGTGCCCCTCTAAAATGACCTCCCCCCAAAGAACCTCCATTCCCCTTCCTATAAAAGTCCCAACTAGCTTTTCCATGCTCAACTATAAATGTCTGTGTGGCCCACACAGATTCTTTGTGTCCCCGTTTCCCAGGCCTCACCAGTGAGTCCTTCACTCAGGCCTTGTACCCCACGCTGCCTGCCGGGAACCCCATTCCTCCAGAGCCGGAGGCTTGCCCCTCTTTAGCCCAGCCCTTACATCTTCTGCCTCCATCACCCCACAGCACAGTTTTTTTTAAACTCAGGTTCTTTGGCTTCTCACAGGAGAGTAAAAAATGTAGGTTAGTGATTCATGGAAACACCCTAAAAGCCCATAAGAATACCTGGTAAACCTGTTAGTTTGCTGAATGAATGAATGAATGAATGAGTGGCTGCTCTCATGCTACCTTAATGAAGACTATTTCTCTTCGTTCTCATGTGTACCACCACTTAGCCATTTATCACTATTTTTCTTGATGCAGCTATTCTTAAAGCTACATCTTGTGACCCCCCCCCCCAATGCTCTCTCCAAATGCTACTGGGGATGGGAGTATCGTGAGATGGATGGCAGTAAAGGTACCTGCCTCCTGTTGGGTTTCAAACCTGGGACAATATCAAAGCAGATACTGGCCACCAGGTTCCCCCTGCATCCCTCAGACCCTCCTGGCTACCATTCCTTTACCCTAAACTTCCTTTGGGCGCCCTAGCTGCTGTTCCTAGTTCCCTTCTCCACACGGCACAGTTCAGCCTGGTCATGTCCACTCTGGACTCTCCCAAGTCCCTGCCTCTGGCTATGGTCTCCCTTTTAGCTGTAATAAACTTTCTCTTTGCCAGGGGGCAGCACACGCCTTTAATCCCAGCACTAGGAAGGCAGAGGCAGCTGGATCTCTGAGTTCACAGAGTTAGTTTCAGCACAGTCAGGGGCTGTTACACACAGAAACACTGTTCTGGAAAATAAGCTTTCTTCTCCACCATACCTAGGAGCAGTCATATCCTTTTCTTTTTCTTTGTCTCATCCTGTAGCACCACATACAGGAGAAAAGAAGGAAAAAGGAAAGCACATGACTTCCTGGGCACAGTAGGGAGAAAGTTTATTGTAGATAAAGGGAGAGCATAGCCAGAGGCAGGGACATCTGGGGGAGTCCAGAGTGGGCGCGACTGACCCATTTAGGCAGCAAACAGTTTATCCACCTACCTATCCCCTCAGCCTGAGACAAGAATATTTTAAGTGATAATGGGTCCTCTTTTTTGAACATCATGGTTACCCCATTTTTCTTGCTTTCCACTCCTTGTTATATCACTGCGTGTGCATCATATATGCTTTAGCAGAAACGAACCCTGTGCACATTATACAACACAAAAACTCTTGGCCTTTTTATTTTTTTAAAGACAGGGTTTGTATAGTCTTGGTTATTCTAGAACTCGTCATGTAGACCAGGCTGGACTGGAACTCACAGAGATCCCCCTGCCTCTGTCTCCTGAGTGCTGGGATTACAGATGTGGACACCACAACCAGCCAAAAGCTCAGAGCGAAGCAGGCCCCTAAAGGAAAATAGCTATTTAATTCCCCTGCCAGTTTTGTAAAGACAGGATTTCTTCTAACAATCCTGGAACTCACAATGTAGACCATGCTGGCCTCAAACTTACAGATATCTGCCTCTGCCTCCTGAGTACTGGTGTTAAAAGTGTGCCACCTCAGCGGGCTTAAAAGAAAAAAAAATAAAGCTATCTGGAAAGCCAGGTATGCTGGTACTTGTTTATAACCCCAGCACTTGGGGCTAAGGCAGGGCTGCCAACAGTTCAAGGGTGCAAGGCCTGCCTGGGCTGGGTAGACTCTCAAAAAGGAAGAAAAGAGGAATGGAGAGCAGACACAGCTAAGCTCACTTCAGCAGTAAGCCTTTTTTTCTCATGTGTGATCACACCTCAAGGAACCCGGGCTGGACTGCCACAATTTCTAAAGCCAATGTTCACAGACCTCAGGACTCAGAGTACCAACACAACAGGAATTAATTAGCCTATTTCTAAGTGTGCTTATTTGCACTTCTAGGAAATTGCTTCATTTCTATTAAAGATAAAAGTAACTTCAAATCAAAACCAGGCTGCAGAGATGGCTCAGTGGTTAAGAACACTGGCTGCTCTCCCAGAGGACCCAGGTTCAGTTCCCAGCACGCACATGGCAGCTCACAACTGTAACTCTATTTCCAAAGCATCTCATGACCTTTCTTGCCTCCAAGGGTACTGTATAAATGTGGCACACATATATAAATGCAGGCAAAATACTTATATACATATAAAAACAAAATCCTAAAAAACAAAAGCAAATCACAAACCAAAGCAGAGTTTCAATCAGGCAAAAATGCAATCCCAGCATTCAGAAGGACTTTTCTGAGTTTGAGTCCAGTCTCTGGTACAAAAAGAGTTCCAGGTCAGTCAGAGCTACATATAAGACCTTGTCTTACATGAACAAAACAGGGTTGGGAATGTAAGACAGGCATGCTTGGTGGCTCAGGTCTGAGGCCCTGTCTCACTTTACAGCTGATAATCCACTCATCCAAGGGCACTGGGTACAAAACTGGTCACTATTTCATGAGAACATATCATAACATGTGTATGGTCACTATTTCATGAGAACATATCATGACATGACATGTGTATGGTCATTATTTCATGAGAACATATCATGACATGTGTATGGTCATTATTTCATGAGAACACATCATGGCCTGTGTATGGTCACTGTTATTTCATGAGAACATATCATGGCATGTGTATTGAGGTTGGACTTAGTTGTCCCCTTCTACCCTGGGATCCATGAAGCAATGGGTTTGCAAGGCAACTGGTTTTCACCACAGAGCCATCTGAGCAGCCTTGATTTTACTTTTTAAAAAAAATACTCTGTTGTCCAGGCTGTCCTGTCCTGGAACTCACTCTGTAGATCAGGCTGGTCTTGAACTCACAAAGATTGACTTGCCTCTGCCTCTGAAGCACTGGGATTAAAGGTGTGCACCATCACTTGCCTGGCTCTCTAGAATTCTTGGAGTCAAGTGATCCTCCAACTTCAGCTTGGAACCTGGATCTTCTTAGTCAATACCACAGGAAAGTGCCATTGTACCCAGCTGAGGTCAATTTTAATTTCTAAGGCCTTAAAATTCTCAGTTACTGGTTTTGATTAAACAACTTAACATGAACGGCAAAATGTAATAATGCAGGGCCCTAGGCAATGGACCTTAAGCAAGTCACTTGTTCTTTCATAATGCAGAAATGGGGGAGAACCTGAGAGCATTCTTGTGAGACCTTAGCAATGTATTTGTTTTTGAGAAAGGGTCTCACTCTGTCCACAGTGTAGACCACACAAGCCTCAAATTCAAATGTCCTCCTGCTTCTGCCTCCTGGAGAGCCAGGGTTAAAGGCGTGTGCCGTTATACCCAGCAACCTTAGCATCTATTACACAGCTGTCAGGGTGTGACACAATAAAATAATATTTCTTGCTCTCCCCATCTTCTCTTGTGAAATGTTTAAGTTCTAGCTAGAAACAAAGTCAGATTTTGGTGGACCTGAAATAGCCACAGTTGAGGGACAACAGCTCCCCTGACTTCTGAGCTTAGGTTTCTGCTAATTTGTGTTTATGTGTTTACAGCCAGTGAGCCAAAGAAGCCACAAGAACAGGAAGTGTTCAATTTACAACTTTATTAAGAAATTGATAATAAGCAAGTCACAACTTTCAAGAACTGGTTAGGACTTTTTTTTTTTACCTCCTAATTTCCCTCTACTGTTTGTTATTCTGTAGCCAGCTCAGGGGACAGGAACCTGAAGAAAAATTAACAACAGCTGACCCAAAGAGAACACAAAAAGATGAGGGGTTCACACATTTCTCTTGGTACCCTTGAGATACTCATTTTCTTCACCACCCCTCTGCGGCCCCCCCCGTGACTGCACAAAGTTTAGAAGGTCAAAGGTGGGGCATAGCAGTACAAGAGCACTTGACTGTCGGACTCATGACTCCAGGCTTCAGTCAAGCAGCCAACAGGTCTAGCAATGCTATCTTAGGTCCCATTTGTCCCGAAGCCCGAGATGACCAACAGATTTCCTCCTGAAGCCAGTCACCCCTCTCCCTGTGAGCCTTGCTTTCACTTTCTGACACAGAAACCAAGGAGAACACAACAGCCCTCTCTACCCACAGGCCCTGTCTCCCTCCCATCTCCACAAGCCAGTTCTTAGCTTGGAAATTCTTTGTCACTTTCTCAAGAGTTCCGCCTCTTTATTAACCTTTCCCTCTTTGGTGAGCTACATAGCTCAGAAGGTAAAGCGCTTGCTGCCCAAGCCTGATGACTGGAGTTGATCCCCAGGTGAGGGATACTGACTTTGACCTACACACACACTGCGATACAAGTGTTCTCATATCATAGTCCGCCCTCCATTTACCTCCAAAGACACTCTTCTCTCAGCCGGTGTCCCCAGGCTGGTGGACTTTCATCCAACCTCTCACCTACGCACTCCAGGGGCTTTTCTCCCCCGCCCCCACCTGACAGGATGGCCCAGCCCACGGAGCCAAAGGCCAACAGGTATTTCTCTTCACTGACTAATGTCTCAGTAGCCATTCCTTCTCGAACAGGAAAAAAAGATCGCCTAGTCCTTTCACTCTCCATCACCTGAATGAA